CCGAGGGGAGGACAAGACCTTAAAGTCCTCCATCTATAAGGGAAACTACATCTGAGGTGAACAGGTTTTAGGCGGATTGGACTCTGGGTGTCGGGGGGTTTTCAGGTTCGTCCAAAAGCTCTATAATTAACAGCTTCACTCGAGAAATGATCTGGATGAGTTTGATTACATTTTTCTTAATTCGTCCGCATTTTTAAGATCGTGTCTGAAGTACTAGGTTAAATTAAAAAGGTGAAAAGTCTCTGAGATTAACTGAGGATTGTAAACTTTCCTTATCGCTCCTTGTTTTTTGTATTTTTCTTTCTTCTGCCCCTCGATGTGAGTGTGGAAGTGAACTTAGAGTAATATAGTATTTAATAAAAGGCAGAGTTAATAAACGGAGGTGGTTTTGGTCAAGCACACCATGAAAGTGGGGGCGAAACAAAAGGCCAAATCGTTTCTGTTCCGAGCTGCTAAGAAGTAAAGGATCTTCTGTTCTGCTTTTCTAAATCATTGTAAATATATCTATCCCATGCCGTGTCCAGATGCAACCAGCAGCTTTGGGAATTTGTGACTTTCTGGTCAATCAAATACTTAATTACTCAAATTCCAGTCATCATGGTCAGATTAATCCCACTCAAACCAGTCCATGTAAAGTGAAACCGCTGAACTTTAAAGGGGTAACTTAACAGTGCAGATCCATCCACAGATCCCTGAGCGTAACAGCCTCTTCACCCACATAAACACTTGACAAAATGGAGCTCGTGTTCTGTCAAATGTCAAGAGTCACTTCACTAAGACTTCAAAAAGGCTACAGCTCTCCGAGCCAAGCACAGAAGACGTGGAGAGAATTGGGACCCAAGCCAAAAACAGATATTACAGATGTTTGAAACAATAACAAAACATATGAATGTCTTCCAAATGGGTTCGCCCAAAGCACCATGTGAAGAAATCTGATGAAAAAGGCAGAACATTAGGGGTGCATGATTTGGAAAAAATAACTATTTGCAATTATTTTGGACCAATATTCAGTTACGATATGGGATGATCCTTTTTGCATCATTATTGTCATTATCATTAGAGGAATATATTAAAATGGTCGTTAAGTGTTAAGGATGTGATTGGCGGGGATATCTCTGCAGCTTACAAATGATAATAATATTGCACTAGTTCATACATTTCAGCTAATTGTGCAGCCCTATTTCAAACAATAGCAGATACACTGTAGGAATGTCTGCTAAGAGGCTGCAAGATATTCTGTTCAAATCGGGTTGAACCAAAGCCCAAACCAGTAAAACCAGGCAGCCAAAAACTCTGCCTTTGGGTTCAAATCTCTTCTCCAAACATCTGTGAAATACCTCGGTGCTTTTTGGCGGGAGAAATGTGGCTAAAAGCGGCTTGGACTTCCTGCTCTGGTTAATAAATCTGAATTTTCTAAATACCTGCACAAAAACAACCCAGAGATTCATCTCCCGTTTCTTTGAGAGGTAAACTGCATTGCTTCAAAATGACAGCAACTCAAACCCTATCAAACTTTGCAATAACAACAATACTTAAGCTATATAACCAATTACTCAACTCTGCAATGTTCTGTTTAATTGGATTATGACTGTATGACACTGCATCTCGAACAATCTGTTTTTTTATTATTATATATATATATCTCTTTATTCTTAAATGGAGCATCAGGCAAAAAAGCCCAACTTCCTCCCAGAGTAAATAAAGTCTTCTGATCCTTAAGTTTATATCCAACTTCCCCAAAAAGGTAAATAAATCAAAGATAAATCATTCATTTATTAGAAGCTTGTAGAGCACTCAGAGAAGTACAACACAGGGTGTTAAGATGAGAACTGCATTGGTACAAGGAAATTAAATGAATTTTTTTTTTTACAGTTTAATATTGTTTAAAGTCAAAGTGCATCAACACATCACATCACGCATCACAAGTGAGCACATTCAAGTTAGTCTAACCCCTGAAGATATAACATTCCTTCTTTAAAAATGCAAAATGTAGCTTAAAAAGTGAGTTTATTTCAGGAAAACCTGGTTTAATCCAGTCTGAATTGAAGCAAGAGAGCATTAAACATTAGTTTTTTTAAGACTGAGCTATTTCTAAGTCTTATGATTGGTGTTTAAGCTCCGTTGTTATCTGCTTGAGGACAAAAATGATTCCTAAAAGGTCATCATGAGGACACAGTGCATGCCAGCTGGGTGTTCTCCAGGCAGCTGTCTCCATGTAGCAGCTGTTTAACTTCTTATATTTAAACTCTGTCCACTAAGTGACCGCTAACTAAACCCATCGCTGTCGGATTCAGTTCTAGCAGCGGGCATGGAAAAAAACTAAACATCACCACCACACAAACACACATCCTTCCCCCGACTCCTGTTGCATCGATTAAAAATAAAGAAATAAAAGAAACACGCATGCAAGACAGAAGTTAAGATCACGGTTAACACCCCCCCCTCTGAGGAGAAACACTACCACACACATGCTTGCTACCAACCTGCAGCTATGCTTACATTGCTTGTTGTTATCTCATTAACAATTTGGTGTTCAAGGTGAATTTACACTTGATATTTGACTCCGGTCGGCACCGTTTGAATGCCAAGGACTAGGTAAAGCTTTAAGCTGCACCTAGTGCGTGTCTCCATTTTTAAAAATCAAGCAAAAGCACATCTATAGATAAGTAGCGAGCACACATTTCATCAAGATCACAGAGCACTTCTACAAGAAATTTGGCCACAGCGCTGCATTGGACTTTCATGAAGGTTTTCACAGCAGAATTAAAAAAGGACAGCAGGTAGCTTCTGGCAGTGTGTTTAACTTAAATATAATAAAATGGTGCAGTGAGTCAACCAGGAAGTTAGCATCACAAGGGCTCCTTAGCGTAAAGCCAAGGGGATTTTTTCATTGGACCTTTGGCTGACGCATGTTTATGATACTTACAGGGTTTGTTCAGCAGGATCATCTTTCACACAAATGTTCTGAAATTGAAGCGTAAATGCAATCTCCAGAACTAAAAAGCTAATGTTGGGCTATAAAGGAACTACAGCACGGTCACATGACTTCACGTCACCACCGCTAAGCTAAAGGTGGCTAATGTTGGGTGATACAAGGAACATAGCACAGGTCACATGACTTCACGTCCCACCGCTAAAGCTAAAGGTGGCTAATGTTGGGCTATAAAGGACACATTGGCACGGTCACATGATTCACGTCACCAACCGCAAGCTAAAGGTGGCTTTACATGTTCTATTAAAGGAACTACAGCACGGTCACATGACTTCACGTCACCACTGCCTAAGCTAAAGGCGGTAATGTTGG